AGTGAAGATTAGACGATGGAGGAGAAGACCCAACCCGATGCCCCCAACAAACTACCGGAAACGAAGCAGCCAAGGACCATTAAGCCTCCGCCGATTTTCATATCCGACGTAAATAACATCAAGGGACTTATTAAGTCAGTAACCAAGATCGTTGGCAAAGACAAGGGTTTCACGTACAAGGCCATGAGGGATAACAAGATCCGGATGATGATGCCTGATAAAACCAGTTACACGGCATTAAAGATACACTTTAACGTCACCGGCGTAAGGCATTTCACGTACCAACCAAGAGACGAACGAGCAATAGGATTGTCGTCAAAGGAGGAACTGAAAAGCATGGGACACACTGTCAGAGATGGACGCGCCTCACATTCGTTTCGTGGATTGCGTGCGGACGTGTTTTTCGTGTGCTACGGTAGTAAAAATCGAAAACGTGTATAATCGGCCGAATCGATTCGAAACTAGTACAACCTGTGTGTTAACGTGCCAGGAACAAACAGTGGAAAAATCGCGAGTGTTCGTCGAATTTTCTGGAAGTTATTCCCATTTATCTTTTGGGAATTTTCCACTCGCCACGTGCGCCACGCAATATAGCTGGGTCGACCACTCAAATTATTTTCGATATATCGAGTATTTGGGTTTCCGAACCAATATCGATATTCAGTGTCGATGGTAAACGATAGTTGCAAGTGAAAAAAAGTTTGCACATCTTTACTTTTGGCGAACAACATCACGTGGATGGCAATATTGGTTTTGGCGAAGAAAATGGAAAAATTTTTGGAAGGCGAAAGCGATAAAGGTAGGTATCTAAACTATTGCATTACATATGCATGCCTTGCACTCTAGCTCAATATCTAATTTCTAATATACAACTTCTTACAGGCAAAAGTGTAAAGAGCAATTTGGAGGAGGGCGAAAACTCAGTGAAAAGATTGGGTAAGTCGAAAGTGTGAAATCATTTCTAAAGGTCCCAAGATGGCAAGACAGCAACTTGCATACACTGCAATAAAATATTCAGGACGAGCGGAAACACCAACCGTGTTGATGCCATTGTTGAACTTCAACAGTACATGCGAGCGGCACATAAACCTCAGCAAACAGATCCTTTGGAGTTTTGGAAGGTAATTTCTTTATAAATCTAAATTTTAATTTGATCTCATTATCTTTTTTTATTTCAGTGCGCTCCAGATGATTCTCTTCTAAAAACTACAGCTGAACGCCTTTTTGTGTTCAAACATCATCGACTGAGTCTGAGAGGATTTTTAGTAAAACGGGACAAATTATTTCTGCCAGGAGAGCATCACTGAAAGCCAAAAACGTGGATAGAGGGATCTCAAACTTTTCAATCAATATAGCATCAATTAATAGCATCAAACTCATGTTAGTCGTCAGTATATTTAGAATCTATTAACCTATACATAAGAACCTTTTGTGAATTATTTCAGTTTTTCTTTTATTATAAGCGTGTTAATATGTGTTATCGAATATCGAATATGTGTTATTCGAATAAATAATGGCGGTGCAATTTAGTGCATTGATTGGATTGCGACTCGACTGGCTTGTGCGTTGACTGGGTATCGGTTGGTTTGTGTGCCGGCTGATTCGTGAATCGACTGATTTGCGCGAGAGTAGGAGGAGCCACTGAATACAGGTGCTGCACTGTAGGTGGAGCCACTGCACCACTTTAGGCAAGACAGGAAATTGAGAGGGACAGCAGCGCAAGCGCAAGCAGCGAGGCCAACGAGATCCTAGTCGCTAAGCGCAGAGCTAGGAAGTCTAGGAAATATGCTGCGAAGGCTATCAAAGCTTCTGGGTCCAAGAGGCTCGCCCTTGACGACGACGGAGGACCTACCGCAGCGGGTGAGTCACCATTCTCCTCATTAGATATGTCTGCTGGCTCCTCCGGCTTACAAGTCGACCGCGCTGCTAGTCGCTTCCGCTACTCCGTCAACTTTTGTCGTCCCCGCTGCTCCTGCAGCTTCCGTACCGCGCGCTGGTGCCCAGTGCATAGTTGCTAAGGGGCACGCTGCCGTACTGGACGAATTATCGGCCACCTAGCCTATGGTCAGACCGCATTTCACGGCAATGATGCGGGAGATGTCTGACGAGCTGTCAGGAGCAATGTGTCGCTACGACGAGCTTGTTGTGGCCCTTATGCTGCGGTGCGAACAGCTGGAGACGCGGTTGGCAATGCCGCCCCGCTTATGCAAAGACGGTTCCTCAACCGAGTGTGCCTCAGATGCCTTTCGCCGCGCAGACGACCCCAGTCTGCCCGATTGCTGCACCACGATTGACCAAGGTCCGCAAGACGAGGTCCGCTGTGGTGAAATGTGACGATCCAGCACTGGCTGCAAGGCTGATTGCGGATAAAGTCCGCAAGGAGGTTGCCCCAACACTGGGAGTAGGGGGTACACGAGGTACGCGAGCTCCGGCGAGGTGGTGGTGCGATTATCCGCACACCCTCTGCCAACGAACTTAGGAAGGTTGCGAAATCAAAGAAGTTCGCCGCCGTGGGACTAAACGTGGAGAGGAATGTCGCCGAGAAGCCCAAGGTGATGATATTCGATTCGGGACACTGCCATCGGTCCCGAGGAGGTTATGGAGGAACTCTTCGTGAACAACTTCGAGGAAACGATGAAAAAGCCAGAATTCAAAACGGGAGTTTACTTGACGACCAAGCCCTGGTCGAACGCTGATGGTGGCAGCATTATCCTGACACTGGAGGTGAACGACAGGGCTATGGCCGTATTTGATGTAGGCCGCGTCACTGGTCCGCACCTAGGCTTCCCATAGGTGTGTTGGATTTGACCACAAACTGAAGTCGAACGTCTGCCGACAGTGCGGACAGCAAGGCCACATCGCAACGAAGTGCACCAATCTGGTGGACTGCTGGAATTTCCGTCACAAGGGACTACCCTCGGGTCATTGTATGCTCTCGGGAGTGTGCCCTATTTACGGCGGGGTGCTAGCGAGGGTGAGTGCTAGACATTAATGTTTAGCCTCATTCAAGCGAATTGTGGCCGAGGCCAAGCTGCTACCATCGAGCTCGGAGTCAGGATGCGTAACTCTGGCCACTTGTTCGCACTGGTGCAGGAGCCCTATGTGGATAGGGGAGGACGCATCACTGGACTTGGTAGGGTTTGCCGGAGCAAGCCTGCCGTATGTAGACAAATGCCGGTATCTTGGCATCACAGTCGGCGAGCGGTTAAGTTTCCTTCCGCATTTCTCATATCTACGAGATCGGATGGCTGGAGTCACAGCGGCATGCCGGACTCATGGTGCCTTGCGCACTATTTGGTGCCTCGGTTTGGTACGCCGTGGTGAGACAAGTTAAGGCCAAAGAGCGCCTCTTGTCCTGCCAAAGGCTCATCGTTTTAGGATGCCTGCCGGTATGCCGCACAGTGTCCACAGTGGCACTGCAGGTGCTTGCTGGTGCTCCTCCAATGGATCTGGATGCAGCGCGAGCCGCCACCAGGTACAAGCTGAAGAAGGATGACCCCTGTATGACAGCGACTGGCTACACGGACAGGACTTGTCTGGCATAGACTGGGAAAGAAGATGGCACTAGTGGACGAGCGTCTGCTAAATGAGTGGCAACTCAGATGGGATGGTGCGGAACACGGCAGCGTTCGTCTACCACAGGAAAGACTTCGGTTTTAACCTACGGGCCGATTTCTTGCTGACGGGTCACGGATCGCTGAACGCATTTCTCTATGAGAGACATCTCAGTGACTCACCTGCATGCTCATGCGGAGGGGAGCTAGAGCACTGGCAACACATCCTTTGTGTCTGCCCCCTCTACCCGGACTTGCGTCACTTGGATGCACTCCGTACTGTGGAAGAGGAGGATAGCTGGAACATCGCGGGAGTAGTACATTCTCCGGAGAGGATGCAACTTTTGGACGCTTACGCTGAAGCCGTCTTTGCGAGGCGCAAGCTGATTCCGATGGTGGAACGTGGGTTAGCAGTCCCGGACTAATAGTCAAAACTGGCCATGTGGTTAGCGGAGAAGAATACTGCCACATCCTGCCATTGCTTGTCGTAGGATGCGACTAATATGGAGGTGTCCCATCCGAGATTTTCGGAGATATAGGGGAGGGCCCACCGAGCCCTAATCGGTACCATTCCAAGCCATGCTCATTTAGAGGTTGGCCTCCGAGTGGGAGTTTCATGGTGGCTGTGGTTAACACCTGCATCGCGGGTAGAACTCTCGAGTTCCACGCGGAGTTGCGTTATACAACTCGGATGCTGTGACCCATAGATAAGCTGAGATTTTAGATGATCTCGCCCATCACAAAGGGGAGTGTGCGCCCGACTTAATAAGCGTACACTCGAATTTGTACCGAGTGGGTTGCTATGTATTTGTTATAGCTTCTTTACCCGGGGCGATTGGCTGGCGGATAATCCAGACACATGCATTATGTGCGCACTTGTGTGTACATTTGAATGCTGTGGTTGTAAACCCTTCAGTGTGGAACACGCCACATAAAATAAGTTCGAAGGGGTCCGATATATGCACTGTCAGAGATGGACGTAATGCCATTGGACACCGAAGCAAGAACCCACTGCCCTTCTTCTTCATTAATCTTGAGCCAGCAGCTAACAACAAGGAAGCTTTTAAGACGCTCTGCAGATCGGTCGTGACGGTGGAACCCCCGCATAAATTCGACGATATCTCCCAATGCTACAGGTGTCAAGGCTACGGACACAGCCAACGATATTGAAGACTGCAAGCGATATGTGTGAAGTGCGACTGCCACTCGAACGCAAATCCGATATCCGATCATAGCGCTGTTGAGCTATTCATAAATCTTCCGGTGCAGAAAAAACAAAATCGACCAAGGATGATCGGAAAGGGCTCTAACTTCAAAGCACACACAGGCTGGTTGATGGATGAAATTGACCCGTATATGATTTTACCTCTGCTAAAAAAATTGACGCTGCAGTATATAAACTAACGCGAGAGATGCACAACGCCGCCGCATATGCGGCACGAAGAATTACATGCACTTCAGGACCACCCCACAGTACCCTACATCTATGGTCGCCTGAAATCGCAGCACTAGCCGCTGAAAAACGAAGACTCAGGAGAACATGGTTTATTTCCAGAAAACAGCGGGATAAAAGAGCCTTCAATAGAGCAACTAAACAACTGAAGGCGAGACTTCAAGAACTGAAGCGAAGTGCGTTCGAAGAGTTCCTCAGCGAGATAGAACCAGGGGATAAACAACATAATCTGCGGCGTGTTACAAAATGCATCCAAACGAACATCGTGGAAATCGACCCGGTCACAGTCGAGGAGGTTGAAGCCGAAATCAAGGGGCTCAAAAACAACAAGTCGCCTAGAATCGACGCTATCAAGGCAATCGCCATAAAACGCCTCCCATCACTTTGATCCAGCTGCTCAAGAACATCTTTAATAGATGCTTCCGAATAGGCCACTTTCCGTCCCCGTGGAAAAAGCGGAAGTAATTTTGATTCCCAAGCCCGGAAAGCCCGAAGCCAATCTCGCCTCTTACCGTCCGATTAGCCTACTGGCAATACTCTCCAAAATATTCGAAAGAATATTTTTGCGCAGAGTAATGCCCCTGCCGGACGAGTATAGTTTGATCACAAATCACCTGTTTGGCTGCAAACGCTCCCACTCAAACCCAGAGTCACCACAATTCTGAATGCTTTCGAGGAGAAAAAATACTGCTGTGATGTGCTACTAGACATCAAGAAGGCCTTTGACCGAGTTTGGCATCCAGAACTTCTGTTAAAGATAAGTCACAGTTTGCCCCAAACGTACTACGCACTACTACGTTCATACCTGAAGACAAGAGAACTGCCCACCGGTTACCCTCATCAGAATTGCAATCCTGGTTGATCCAACCCCAAAGTATCTTGAAATGACCCTGGACAGGCGATTAACCTGGCACGCCCACGTTCAGAAAAAGACTGAACCAGTACCGGTGACTGATAGGCAGGCGATCGAAATTAAAGACCAGGCATAAGTTACTGGTCTACTATACGATCGTTAAACCTATATGGATCTTCAGAATCCTACTATGGGGTACGCCAACTTATTCAAACGTAGAAGCATACAGCGACTTCAAAATAAGGCATTAAGAATAGTCTCGGGCGCTCTACCTTCGGAATCCAACTATGGGGTACGTCAACCTACTAAAACCGTAGAAGCATACAGCGACTTCAAAATAAGAGTTTAAGAATAGTCTCGGGCGCTCATCCATACCACACTGCCGAAGCCATCCACGAAGCACTAGGTGTGCCTTGGGAGAAAGATGAAATTAAAAAAGCGAGGAGCAACAGCGTGGAAAACTTTTCAAGCTTACGTCCATATTGATATTGTTAATTTAGTTCCGAAAAGGCAAAGGCTTTTAGACATACTTTGATAAACTATATATATTCCATGGTGCAATAAACTCTACAATATAATGAAGGGAAAATTATCTATTCATTCAAAACAAAAAATAAAAGAGAACAATAATGATATAAATAAATAAAACACTGACCGAGATGTTTGACCTGCACGTGTTCACTTTCAAATGAACAAATTCGCAACAATGGCGTGGTTATATAGTGTCCGATGTCTTCAGTGTGACCAAACACTTGCGTTGTTCATTTTCTCAAAATTAATCAGTGCTGCTAAGTGATGAGCGCCCGTATAAGCTAGATTTTTGAAAAAAAATAAGCTAGAATAAGCTTAAATTAAAAAAAAGAGCTAAAAAACAAGCTACAATCAAATTATAGAAATCATGAATCCTTTTTATTATTAAATTAAATTAGTTAATAATACATCGATTTCGTCATCTTGATCGACATTTAAATATTTTTCATTTTTTTTTTATGAGCATCATGTACTTTTTTTTTTATTTATCACTTTTGGCATTTTAGCAAACGCTTTATTTAATTTTACAACTCCAAATTATTATAATAATTAATTTATATAATTATTATAAATTCACGATCATATGAAATGCACATAACCATCTGCAAAAAAAGAACAAGCTGCGATATTTTCATGCCATATGGCATTTTTTGTTACAAAACAAACTGTTGGTGTCGCAAATACAGTAGAATCCTGTTATAACGACTCCGCTTATAGTGCCCGTCCGGTTTTTGCGACGAAAACTCCATAGCTTGATTGGTCCCTATACAGACTTATACACTTAAATCCTTCTGCTTAGTGCGTCTTCCGGGTATAACGACGAAAAATCGTCGGTCCCTTGAAAGTCGTTATAAGCGGATTCTACTGTACATATAAAACTAGAATATGCTAGATGAATTTTAAAATAAGCTATATTTCAAGCTATAAGCTACATGGAAATTTTACAAGCTTTTCTAGTTTTAAATATGCTAGAACTAGCTTATAATAAGTTAAACTGGCAACACTTAAAGTAATGGTAAATAAGTAAATTTATTACGGTCTGCTAACATCTTGGGTGTGAACGGCTTAGCTAGATTAAGTTTAAAATTTTTCTTCTTATGAACAAAACACAGAATTCGCAAAAAACAAACACATAAAACACAAGTTCAACAGCCGTGCCAATAAAAACCAACAACAATGGATAAACCGCCAGACATAGGTAATAGACTTCTGCATAAATGCATCCAAAACGACAAATTAATCACTTATTCGAAAAGTGGGCACACTCTTTTTCTGCACAGTATATTTTGGTGTGAGTGAGTACTACAATACTACCCGTCTGTTTTGATTGACAATAGTCTCACTCATTCCATAGTTGTACAGCTGTTAATGAGGACAGCAAGATTGGTGTGCAGTAGTCAACGCACTGTACAGTGTTTTGGTGTGCAGTTGACTTACCCTGCAGTTCCAAAATAGGTTTTTCCTATAAGAAATCCGCGAGGAAGCACCGAATACGAATTTTGTATAGAAAAAATTCGTATAAGGCATAGAGGAATTCGTAGCGGAAGTGGAAGCGGGGTTTTCCTCGAAAGCTTTTCCGAGGATGCCCTTTCGGAATTCGTCGGTTAATTTTTAAACAATTTCCTATATGAATTCCCCAATACATTTTTTTGGAAAGTCATACCTATTTTCATAAGAGGAATGACTAAAAAAAACACATTTTTAATACAGTTATTAAACATTTTTTTTAAATTATAAATATTATTTTTATGACTATTATTATTCTTATTGGTATTATTATTTTATTATTATTATTATATTACATTATTATTATTGTTTTATTATTATTATTATATTACATTATTATTATTAAAAAGTATTATTTAAATTAAAATGATTCTTATTATTTTTTTTGCATATGCTGTTTTTTACGTTTTGCATCGCTTTTCTTATTACTTTTTCCCCATCCTCGAGGGGAAATACCTCTTGTGAGACGTCTGAAAATATAAAAAAATTAAAAAAAAAGTTAAAATTGCTGCTTTGAATAATTTATTAAAATAAATAAAAAATATTGTTCATTTGTTTACCTTTCAAAATAGAAAAGAGGTTTGTAAAGTTTTTGAACCTCTTTTTCATGTTTGTGCCGTCCAAATTAAAATTTGGCAGCAAGCCATCATCAATGATTTTTCGCAAAACTTTTGCGAAGTTATCCTTCTTTGCGAAGTTAGTAATTTTTGCTTTCTGTAATGATAAAAAGTTAAAATCTTTACTCTTACAGTATAAAAAAACTTACGTAAAACTCCCGCCGCTTAGGTGTCATAGCGCTCTCGAAGAGCTCTATGTCTTCCTCCGTCTTGAGGGGGAAGGGAACCCCTGTATCCACCGTCTTCTCTTCCGCTTTCAACTTTAACTTCACAACTGCGGTGGTCTCCGCCAGCTTCTCGCCCAAAAGATCTATCTTATAGATAGATGTTTTGTTCTGAAATGGTAAATAAATTTATTTAGAAATGATTATATATATTCATATATATAGCAATTAATACCTTTTAATGCGGAAAGTATTCTTTCTTCGCATAAAATCATTCTTTCTTCACATGAATCTGTTAAAAAATTTAAAATTAAATTTAAATTCAAAAATTAATACAAAAATCATGCAACTCACGAGATACGCACTGTACAGTGTTTTGGTATGCAGTTGACTTACCCTGCAGTTCCAAAATAGGTTTTTCCT